TGGATAGCCACCTTACTTATCTCGATCCGATTAACAACAAACAATAATGCCTGATTTTAAACTGGATCTTGAAAATATATATAATTAGTCACAGTGGTCAATAAAATTGCAGAGAATTCCCACCCTTGAAGTAAAACGTCAATACAACGTTATTTACATTTCACAGTTTGATTGACAATACATAAAAATTTCGTAGCATAGTTAATATAATAATTTATCAAACCTATTGTAAGATATGATCCAAATATCTGAGATAGCCCGAATTTCTAACCTAGTTATGAGATTTTTGCCCGTAAAACTTGCTTTCGGGGATGAGAGGACGCACATTCGTTCGATCACAAACCTCCCGACAAAACAGTCAAGGCTAATTTTTGTCGTTAGTTGATAATCAAAAGCCACCAGAACTAAAGCTTGAGACAACCTTTCCTATGGAGTGAAAGTGAAAATAACACTTTCACATACTGCTATAATATAATACTGGAACCGAAAGTAGCGATAATAGACTCGAGACTGTAGAGGTAAGGGATGGAAGTCTTCTACTCGTGAAATTTTTTGCGGTCAAGTTCATCGACAAGAGGAATAACATGCGATGGCACACTGTATCCGGACACATTATAGTAAATCATTTTCCATCTGTTTTCATGTTAAGTCTCAATATTCAACCTTCTATAACTTTTTTCAGAAATCTCGTTGAAGACTTTCCAATACGTCACATGAAAACCTGCTTAGTTTCTGGACAAAAATTCAATATATTATGACCATGAAAATCTTGAACTAGCCAAACTGAAAGTAGACCACTACATTTAATCAACATCCATTTGACTGTCACTGAACAATTTTTTTTTAGAATTATCCTTCCGCATGAAAATCTCTCATCATCTCACAAAATCTGAAAGGAAATACAATTTCATACATCAAATTCCAAATCTAGAACAAAAATAAGTCAAAAAAAGGCAGAAAAACCCTAAAGGTACGGAGAAAGGGGATAGCACGGACTACAATCATTAGCATAAAGTTAATTACTGGAGTCCGTCCTATATCCGTGGTCTTCTCAGCGGCAGGTTTATTGTGTGTTCCGTTGTGAACAGTGAATAATTATAAAAGACGTTTTAAACCAAATTAAACGTTAACGGTCAAATAGCTCTAGGCCTGCTAAAGAGGATTTGTATTCTTCGTTATTGCATTCCTTTTCTTACGACACTACAGTATAGCACTCAATGGATATGGAACTTTATGGTCTAAGGTCGATAACTCATAATATCTTTGAGCATGCTTTGACGTCGTTCCTCTTGCTTTATTGTTTCTAGTATTCTGCTTCTGCTTAGGAGAAGAGGTCGTCTCTCAGCTGGCTAAGGTAGCCTATAGATAGTAGGAGAAAGTGTGATGAAAAGATTAAAAATATGATGAGTAAAATATATCTAACACATACCAGTTGTTTACTAATATATCATGTTTGAAGTAGTATTATTAACTGTTAAAAACTATAGCAGCAATCACAAATCATGCTAATGGAAATGACAGACTCTATAATACCCGAACTAGTGCTCTTGAAAATAATGACAAGAGATCAATTGCAACGAAGGAATCCCACGAAATTCATTGAGCAGATTACTCCAGGTTAGGAGTTTGAATCCACAAGCAATTTTTTAATTGAACTATTTTCCATATCAACACGAGATAAAATAGATAGGTTTCAAGACAAGGTAACATACGCCCACCACCAGCTGTCAGAAATGTTAAAGTCTTCATAAAGTGCTTTAAAAATGAATTTTGTCATAATCTTCACAGATCAAACGACATCATTTATTTTTTTTCATTTTGAATTAAAAAACTGGAATATAATTATAAAACATAATTTTGAATTAAAAAAAATGGAATATAAGGTGAAAATACAAGATTTTAATTAAAAATTCTAGAATTATCACCCGGGTGAAAATGCAATTTTTAATTAAAACTTCTAGAATTATCACCCGGGTAAAAATACAAGTTTTTAATTAAAATTTCTAGAATTATCAACGGGTGAAAATACAAGTTTTTGAATTCAAAATTCTTGAAGGTGATAATTCAAGAATTTTGAATTCAAAATTATTTTTTATAATTATATTCCAGTTTTTTCATTCAAAATTGAAAAAATAAATGATGTCGTATACGAACCAACGTACTACCTTAAAATATCGTCATTTTCAAATTTAACCAAGATCTCACCAATATATACTTACATACCAAGTTTTATCAAGGTGGTTCAAAAATTGAACCTCTATTTTTCTTACATTTTAATTTGACCTTTTTTTTTTTACTAGGTCGAGGTCAATTTTTTCCTTTTTTTTTATCCTCTATCGTGTCGTCAGCCTAATTTGACACGTTTTACTCAGTCAAGGGGAATAATTAATATAATTGATTATTACTTAATTCGAACTTGACCAAGATCTCATCAATATATACATACATACCAAGTTTCATCAAGATCGGACAAAAACTGTAGTCTCTATCGTGCCTACAAAACAAAATTAACACAGGTTTACTAAGTCAAGGGCAATAACTCCAAAACTGTTCATTATTATCGTCCACGTGGGCGTATAAAATAATATATCCTAGGTTGCGATCCCTTAAACAGCCATTTCATATAAACTATAAAGTATCGTGGAAAGGAAGAAACTACTTAGAAACTCGTTTAAATTTGATTATCGCCTCGACGAAAACAGATGTTAACATCAGCCTTATCGACGTTAGTACAAAATAACTCAATGCTAAAACCTCTATATCTAATATTTAAAGAAGTTTATTCAAAATCGTATGTAAATATTTAGTCTCATCACTGACCGTCTGTAAAGCTGAATCTACCTGGATAATGAATGGTGAGCTTTATGTTGCAGAGTGAAATTTAACTTCACAATTTTGTAAATTGTCAAATCTATTTTTGTTTGGAAATACTGGTGTTTCTTCATTCATCAATGTACTGAATACTTAGCAACTCTACGCGAGACAACAAAATGTTGTAAAAAAAAATGACCAAATTTCAAGATAAAAATTTACCACGTCCAATTATATATATCCAAATTATTGCATATTGTTCCAATTTTATCTCCGTATTCCCTATGATTAAAAAAAGTAAATGCCAAATCTTAAACTCGACTCTAATTCAACTCTAATCGAGATTGTCGTACTTTCAAAAGTTGTCACTAGAGGAGTACTCGAGTCAGTGGCATTACTAGGAAGTATCTGGTGTACGAGCAAGGGCCACACAATTTTCTTGGGCGGCCACAATCCATTCTTTCACTTTGTAAAATGGTTGGAAGGGGGGTAAAGCCGGGCCAGCTTCTTTTCTGGTAGGGAGGGGGGGATCTTTATGGAACAACAATCACTGGTTAAAGTTTTACGCAACGAAAAAAAACTGCCAAACGTTGCTAAAAAAAATATACAACGTCCAAATATGTACATCCAAATGGTTGTTCTCAATACACATAACTGAAGGCCAAAAGAAACTTTACCACAAGAGTGGCTTTTAACAAAAAATATATAGAAATTTCGAAACTATTCAAATTACATTGCCCAAACACAACAATAACTTATACCCACCACTTCACCGCTCATTGAGGTGGGGAAATCGTAAAAAAGTGCACTATGAGTATAAAAACGGGTTGAATTGCATGTCGGGCTTACACAGCCACGACTGACGACTGGTGTGGGAGGGGGTGTCTGTGGAAAGAAGGTGACTCCGCTGGTTATTGTTAATGGCAACTTGACAGTCCGGGTCACATTGATGCCATTCTCCGTCTGACAACAGTCACATTATCCACATGACATCACCAGACCCCAAACAGGCAGAATCGTAAACAACTTCCTTGGACTTAGAGTCAATTACGTGTTGCTGTGCCTGCATGTTCCCCGACATGTCCCCCATTAGACCGAAACATTGGTTTTTTTTCCAGCTTTCGATAGCTATTTTGGACATCTGCTGTAGCTGACAACTGTCAAGATATCCATCAGAGGCTGCAATAAAGGCAGATGTTTCGGACTCGTCATCCATTTAACCTTCTTGGGCATCATGGGATCGACGTGTTCGTCTGCAACAACGTCCTCCAGCCAGTTGACAGGAACTGACCCGGTTTCTTCCAGAGGAATGACGAGCTATCCCCAGTGACTTCATCAGACGATTAACTTTGTGCGTTGGAGTTTAGAAAGATGTGGGCGTATAGAATGTTTAACTTATATGGTTACTTGATCACCATACTGACAAAAAAACCAATAAAAAAAAGAAAGAAACCTTCATGTCCCGAAAATATAATTTGGTCATATGATTGCATGCAGCTCTACTATGCTGATGTTGCCATCAATCACGTACACTTTCAACTAGCTGCCCGCCTCGAGACAAACTAAATGTAAAAGAAAGTCAATCGAATGAACCAAAATGGTGATTACTCAGGTCGTAAATTTCATTAAAAGAGTTTTTAGTTACTACTAGTCATTTGACCAGATGGTTGTTTGCAGCAGAAATCTTCCAAATTCTGACAGATAGTTCAATTTATGGTTAAAATTATGTCAAAGTAATTGATTAGTGTCTAATAAGGTAACTGGATTATTTAGACGAGGTTGAGTTTTTCTTTGTAACAATTTGTATTTAGTTTAAAAATCATAAATCATAAATTTGACTAAATTTGTCTATTTCTGTCTACACTGTCCAACATTTGTATTACGATGTTTGGTCGTGTACAAAGTTTATTGAGGAAATTATTATTTTTAGAAGGAAAATAATTCAACATGGATGCTTTGAATATAGTGCTGCTTAGTCAGCTATTATTTTGAAAATTTTGAAAGATTCGTCAATGGCTAAAGATTGAAAGAAGAAGTCAGCATTGGGCTGAGTTTAAAAAGATCAGACCCGCTTTTGAAACTAAAAAGGCATCGATGTATTATCCTTTCATGACTTATGAGCAAAGCATTAATTGCCAAGAAGAAACAGTAACTGCAATAGGCGTGGGCGAATCACAAATCGTAAATGCATTCATGATAAGCCTCAGATTTATACATGTATTCATGATAAGCCTCAGATTTATACATGCATTCATGATAAGCCTCATATTTATTCATGTATTCATGATAAGCCCCAGTTTTATACATTATACATATTCACAATAGGCCTCAGATTTATACATGTATTCATGATAAGATTTGTATTCATGATAAGATTCAGTTTTATTCATGTATTCATGATAAGCCTCGGTTTTATTCACGTATTCATGATAAGATTCAGTTTTATACATTATACATATTCATGATAAGCCTCAGATTTATACATGTATTCATGATAAGCCCCAGTTTTATACATGTATTCATAAGCCCCATATTTATACATGTATTCATAAGCTTCATATATATACATGTATTCATGATAATCCTCAGATTTATACATTTATTCATGATAAGCCTTAAATTTTTACATGCATTCATGATGGGCCTCGGATTTATGCATGTATTCGAGATAAGCCTCAGTTTTATACATGTATTCATAATAGGCCTGAAATTTATACATGTATTCTAAATAAAACTCAGATTTATTCAGATAATCAAGATAAGCCTCAGTATTATGCATTATACATATTCATGATAGGCCTCAGATTTATACATTTATTCATAATAAGCCTCATATTTATTCATGTATTCATGATAAGCCTCGGTTTTATAAATGTATTCATGATAAGCCTCGGTTTTATACATGTATTCATGATAAGCCCCAGTTTTATACATGTATTCATGATAAGCTTCGGTTTTATAAATGTATTCATGATAAGCCTTGGTTTTATACACGTATTCATGATAAGCCTCGGTTTTGTAAATGTATTCATGATAAGCCCCAGTTTTATACATGTATTCAACATGTAACTCAGATTTATCTTAGTTGTTTCATAGTACAATAAATGAATTGGACAAGGACCCCACACTGATAAAAGCATACTAATATCATCATTATAAAAAGCATTTATTTACTGCATAATATTCATAATATTAATTTTTTTATAGGTTGAAGTGATTTCTACAAAATGACAAATGGTAAGCTATATAAAATGCTAAAAAAAAAAAAATGATGATTTCTACTATAAATACAAGAGGTGTGCATCCTACTTCTCTCCTGTGAATGATATCATAAAGACCTTGAGAACATAAGACTACATTTTCAAACTATCATTTGCTATGCACAGTTGTAGGAAGCTGGGATTTGCACCTCAGCCCTATGACCTACATACTGTGTAAGGCCAACCTAGAAAAATCAAAAGGTTTACAATGTTAATCAATGCTGGGATCAAATCCCTCATGAGAAAGTGAATTGACCAAACGATATTCAATTTAAAATCATGAGCCTAAATATCATCTTTCAGCTAAAGACAATAAATTTGATTAGTCTGGTGCCATTAAACTTAACAAAACAAATTCAGTAGTTATAATATACATCTCATAAACAACACATTCAAAATTATTAAAAAAAAAACAAAATCAATAAATATTTTACATAATTTCATTAATAAATCGTTGCTCTTTCTTAAATAATCCTACCCATTGAGAGCTGAGTCGAATGGTCATGAGTAGATTACTTATTCAAGGTCATTAAACATTTAACATACCAACTGAGATTGTAACACCTGGTCAACTATATTACAATTACTATTTCATGATTACATTATATTACTTTTGCCTGGATTTAAAATTATAATCCTTTACATTATACAACTTTTAAAAATGAATAATAGTGATTTTCTATGAACATTTTATTACAGAGTTTGTCTCAATATTGACTTATTTTAACTGTATAATAAAATGTTTATAGAAAAAATCATAAAAATCAATCTGCACCAAGATCCATCTAATAAACATGTACATAAAAATACATATAATCTGTTTGACACTTTTATAAGAAAAATGTTGTATTTCTTTTATCAAAATAATATATGATATTTGCTGTATGTTGCTTTTGAAGTCTTGAAAAAGGATCAGGGTGACTGGCAATTCATATCATCTCATCAGATTTGTTGTTGTCAATATGATCAAAATGATCTTGGCAAAAATTGTCTACCTACTAACAACTACAATCCATTGTTTTTTTTTTTTTTTTTTAATTTATTTATTAACTTGCACATATTTTACATTTAAGTCACATATTTTAGATTTGTTGGATGGTTGAAAATTTTCACTCTGAGTGGCAACTAGATCCACTTATCATTTATGTCTTGATGATGAGATATGGAAATTGTGAGTTACTAAGTTGAAATCAACCACACTATGTTTTCTGAATTGAATTGAACATTTATAACCTGATCCTTTCTAATAGTTTTCTCTTGGAATCAGAAATAAGCCTATCAAGTAGTTTATATCATCTTAAAATGTATGTCACTACTCTAACAAGGTTAATAAGTTAATATTGGAAAAAATAATTGGAGATTTTCAATAAAGAAAACACTGTGACAAGAAACTCTGAGAACAACTGGACATATAAAGTTGCAAGAAAGTAGAAATTGTTTGGATTCTTTCAGAGGCTGGCAGTTGCTAACTGTCATTATAATACAATCCAGCTGGTCTCAGATTCTGCAAGTTAAGGTCCACAATAGGCCTTAGAATCACATATCTAAAAGTATATGAAATGAAAAAGAGTTTTTTTTTAATTACATTTCTTAAGCTAATTTCGCTAATGGACATGGGAGAACATCATGAAATGTGCAAATTAACTGACATTGGGTCGTACCTCTTTTATTTACTTGGCAAAATAGCCAAATGAAAATTTATGCTGGAACTAAAATACTTCAATGAATTCAATATTTTTCTGGGACACTTAGAAATCACACAAGACACTGATTTGAACCAGATAGACTCAAATGTTTTAAAAATTATCAAAATATGCTTTCTTCATAACACACTTCACTCACTAGAAGTTAAATAATAATTAAAAGGTAAAGGTTTATCTATGAGATAATCCTTACACAGTCTTTATAAACACATGATTGAACATGATGGGTAATGAACAAGACATTAGTCTATATTATTAAGCACTAAAAAGATTGTTTTCTGAAATGCCATTTTAGAGGTTGTTCTCTACCTTCAATTTTGAAGATCTCTTAATGCATCTTGTGCATTCATGAACATTTCTCTATTATCAGAGTCCATATTGGTATCTTGTACATTTGAAGAATTCACTTGTACATGAGCTCCAACTGTTTGAAGTCCAGTTAAATTTTCACCAGGTATCATATTCATATCTAAAGATTCAAATGATAAGATGTCCTGTCCATCTGCCTTTATTCCTTTATCTTGTAAATATTCTAGTAAGATTTGTGGATCCAAACCTTGAGGATCAAATTGCATGGGGTCAGGTTGTACTGATGGACAGAAAGTTTGTTGTGAAGTTCCAAAGCTTGGATTAGTGGTTGGCAGTGTAGTTTGAACATGGTTTGATGATAATGCCATATTAAATCCACTGCTTGAAATATCATTATAGTTATACGTGTTGACAGTAACAGAACTTGTTGAAAAAGCAGCATCTCCAATATTAGATAAAGAATAGGTCGGTACTCCAGCTGTAAAAGAAAAGCAACCAAATTTTTATATAATATCATTTTGCATACTGTCAGTGAAATAGTTGTTTTGAATTATCCTGATTATTTGATCATCCAAAGACATAAGAGTACCAAATTTCCTCTAAATATAATCATTTATGTTGTCTCTATTGGACTCACAATGGAGTTCTATGTTTGAAGTGTCCTTATGGGACTGAATTACATTGATCACACTAAAGGAATACTACTAGTACCTCTTAGAAATTAGGTACCAAATTGTCAATATCTGATCAAATATTAAATTTGTCACTATTGCACCCACAGGCCAATTTTGTGGTACTTTGTGTAGTACCGGTACCTTCATATTTAAAGTTTATTGTATACACATAACAAGTTCTCAAATCTGTAGCTTATATTGTATTTTTTGTATCCTTATACAATTATCTCTAATTGCATCGTGCCCCAAATTTGAAATGAGTTTAGTTTCAATAGATTTTCAAAAAAAATAAAGTGAAAAAAAATAATGAAACCTGGACTTCTTTTAAGAATCAAACAGCCTGATTACTGACTTCTTCCTGAACTGGCCTAATAATATAGAAGGTAACAAGAATCTTACCACTAGCGCCTGTTTCTTCTTTGATGTCATTTGATGGAAAAACCTTCCTGTTAGCTTTCAATTTGCTTCTCAGACCTTCTTTGATATGGACAGTGGCTCCCCCCATTCTTGGACCAGCGGGGTTGGATATATCTGAAGAGAACAAAATAGAACTCGTAAAAAATAAACAAATCTACATTATGTGTCTTTATGTTAATGACATACCAAAAACGTAAACAACAATATAACTAAACCATCTTAAAAGCCAGCGATATTTCACTCCTTACTACTAGGACTCTACCTCATATTGCTATATCCAACAAGGTGTCTTTATGGGACTGAATTACTAAAGGAATACTACTAGTACTTCTTAAAATGGACATCTTATTTAATGTCTCAAACTTTGTCAATAAGAGACTATATTCATCAGTTTGACTAACTAGGTACCATGACTAAAGAATAGAATCTCTATATAAGACGATATATCTATTCATAGGTTAATGCATAATTACTTAGTATTATGGAATTATTGGATTATAGAGGGATTCTGTCGTATATGTTAGTATCATGTTCGCTGAAAGACTCATTGTGTATATCCTAGCCTTGTTAGTATTTATTTTCTTCTTACCATTAACTAAATTATTCATTCTTTCTGCTTTCCTCTTTCTCTTTTCTTCTATTCTATCTGGATCTAAACACATAAAAAAAAATATATAGAGAGATAAAAAGGCTCACATACAACTTATGCACTTCTGTATAAAATCTAAGTATATTTATATATATATACTTATTCAAATACTAAGACTTCTTGCAAAAATCACCTTAGTATTCCACAATGACAGCACATTAAGAAGGAAAGAAAATAACAACTATTTTTTACAAGGATAACAGTTAAGGCAAGATGACTTATTCAAGATCATCAGGCTATCACATGCCAACAACGAATAGAACCTAAGATCACTATATGGTTGATATAACCAATCAATTGATATCAAGTTTGTCATTGTGTGTGGTTGAATCTTAAGTGACATGGAAATGCGAGTCTACACCAGGAAACAGAAGTAGTCAATTGTTTGTATGGACAGCAATGTAGAAGGTCGACCCTGATCTTGTCTTGTCTGATGTTGTATAGTCTAAGCTATAATAAAGAGGTACATAATCACTTTTCAAAGTTTCCAACTGTCTAACAACACAGAAATTAGAAGACATCATCCTAGTTTTGACACAAATCCACAATTCAGAAACACTTCATGGCAAAAAATACATTTATCGACTGTCAAAATAACCTAAAACTGTTACTACTATATGCTTACCTGGGTCATCCGGCATATATATAAAATTAATAGGTTCACTTGTCTCTGCATCTGATGGTCTGTGTAGCTGCATAAAAACTTGAACTGGTCTGTTGATATAACAGTTTCTATATTCTGGTGTTTTAAATACTATAGCATACTGAAAAAGAATTTCTGATTGTTATCACATAATTTACAAATATTGGTAAAAAAAAAGTATATATGAAGGCTGCTCCATAATGGGAAGTTAAACTCTGAATTCTCAAATATAGAAGCACCACACAACACAATATAACAGCGTTCAGAAGTTCAGCATAAAATAATAGTATAGTTTACTATGAATTGAAATGTATTATATTCATGTCCTGGTTATTAGTTACAATACCAAACATTTATGTTCTGGGAGGTCACACAGAATAGGGTTTCCTTATTTTTTACTGTCAAATTAAGCAAGCTATTTGATTAATTGGTGTTTCTAATGAATTAGCATGTATTCTATTCATATCATTACTTTCTTATATTTATAGTAATTAACAGTTTTAACCAATCATAAATGTCCATGTATGTACAGTCTGGATAAAAAAAAAGATAGCTTGCCAGGCAAGGTAATATACGCCCACTGATAGCTTTGTTTGAAATTGAATATTTGTTAGAAAATAGCAAACATAGACACCAGGAATACTATTTATAGTATCTTATGATGCTGTACATGTATGGTGGCTGGTTAGGGACATGTTCAATGATTAAATTAAATTTTCTTATTTTCAAAATAGTTTCTCAGGAAAATAATGACATCTATTGTAAATCGTGATTATGAACAAAAAAATTGTGACTTGTAGAGACTGTCAAGAATTGTGCCTCCTAGACTGTTTACGAGCTAAAAATTGAACGCGTTTTCAAGAACAAGGGCAATAATTCATACTAAATATTTTTTGATTTCGCTCATTTTCAATAGGGTTTATCCTTGGGTGATTACGAACAGTCATAACAAGTTCCGTTAAAGTCCTTCAAGAATTGTGCCTTCTAGAGTGTTTACAAGCAAAAAATTGAACACGTTTTCAATGACAAGGGCAATAATTCATACTAAATATTTTTTGATTTCGCTGATTTTCAATAGGGTTTATCCTTGGGTGATTACGAACACTCATACCAAGTTTCGTTAAAATCCTTCAAGAATTGTGCCTTCTAGAGTGTTTATGGGCTAAAAATTGAATGCGTTTTCAAGAACAAGGGCAATAATTCATACTAAATATTTTTCGATTTCGCTGATTTTCAATAGGCTTTATCCTTGGGTGATTCTGAACACTCATACCAAGTTTCGTTAAAATCCTTCAAGAATTATGCCTTCTAGAGTGTTTACGAGCTAAAAATTGAACGCGTTTTCAAGAACAAGGGCAATAATTCATACTTAATATTTTTCGATTTCGCTGATTTTCAATAGGGTCTATCCTTGGGTGATAACGAACACTCATACGAAGTTTCGTCAAAATCTGTCAAGAATTGCGCCTTCTAGAGTGTTTACGAGCTAAAAATTGAACGCGTTTGCAAGAACAAGGGCAATAATTCATACTAAATATTTTTCGATTTCGCTGATTTTCAATAGGGTTTATCCTTGGGTGATTACGAACACTCATACCAAGTTTCGTTAAAATCCTTCAAGAATTATGCCTTCTAGAGTGTTTACGAGCTAAAAATTGAACGCGTTTTCAAGAACAAGGGCAATAATTCATACTTAATATTTTTCGATTTCGCTGATTTTCAATAGGATCTATCCTTGGGTGATAACGAACACTCATACCAAGTTTCGTCAAAATCTGTCAAGAATTGTGCCTTCTAGAGTGTTTACGAGCTAAAAATTGAACGTGTTTGCAAGAACAAGGGCAATAATTCATACTAAATATTTTTCGATTTCGCTGATTTTCAATAGGGTTTATCCTTGGTTGATTACAAACACTCATACCAAGTTTAGTCAAAATCTGTCAAGAATTGTGCCTTCTAGAGTGTTTACGAGCTAAAAATTAACAAGGGCAATAATTCATGCTAAATATTTTTCGATTTTGCTGATTTTCAATAGGGTTTATCCTTGGGTGATTGCGAACACACATACTAAGTTTCGTTAAAATCCGTCAAGAATTGTGCCCTGTAGAGTGTTTACGAGCAATTGTGGACGGACGGACGGACCGACCGACGGACATGGGTGACGACAATATTTGCCCCCCATTTCATGTGGGCGTATAAAAAGACTTTTTGACCTTTTTTGATCGGTCACTTGTTGGAATTTTGTTGGTAATTCTCTTCTAATTATGAATTAATTATGGACATGTGAGAAAAAATGGTATTTTTCCAAGTCATTAGAAACACCTCTACTTTCTATTCATACCATATTTAAGATAGCTTGCAAGGTAAAGTAAATTTTTTGATACAATAAAAAAGCTGCATGAATCAAGATGTTTAATCTGTTAGTTAATCACAATAACTTCATCACAAAAGTAATCAATTTATAACTCAAACTACATGATCAAACGGAAAATTTACTAAGTAACTAAATAACTACTACATTATGGAATACATCCAAGATCTTGTCAATATTTTAAACAATAACTCTTCATGGTAAAAACATCAACTTCACACTCCATTGAAAAATTTTACTTCTGTTGTGTTCATTGAAAAATTGTCTAATTCAGACTTGTCCAAAAAGTGTACCTTATACTGTGTTAATGACATAGATTTTGACAAGATAAGACAAAGTTATGTTTATATCTCCAAGGAAGTTAATCTAAAAAATTTCCTGATTCGAATTCATCCTAGAGTCTGTTGTGTGCATTAGCAAAACACAGTCCAGGCCTTAAACAATGATTCAAATAAGTCTTGTATTTCATCAAAATATTCAGTCTACCAACCTGTCTGTGAACATCTCCGGCTCCAAATTCACCGAAAGCCTCCCATTCGATTGTGCCATCTTTCCTTTCTTCATAGAATTTAATCCCAATATCATCTATAGATAAATAAATATAGTTACAATTCAAGAAAATTTATCGCTTAAAAATCTTGTTACCTTTCTGTCATGGTTTGTCAATTCAAAATATGGTTTATAAAAAAGATATTAGGTACCTTTGTTGATCTTTTCACACAAAATGAACACTTCATCTCCCCCTTTAGCTCTACCAGAACTTTTATCAACTCTACAGATTACTAAATCATTGAGGGCTTCTAAAATCATAAGAACAACATATGTTTATAAATATTTTCACTGTTTAAAATAGTACTCAAAACATCAATTGTAAAGTAATATAGAAAAATTAGGAAAGAACCTAAAACAAAAATGTTAGCCTGTGTCTCTCCAGAATTAGGACAAGTAGAACTTATTCTCATGTCTACACTTCCAGTCGAGTTCGGAACCTTTGTTCAACAACAACTTTTTTTGTAGGTTCTGCATTAATATTTCTGTCCTTCATAATATAATAGTTTTACATTCTACTTTTGTACACATATAGGATCTCATTAATTAGTGCTAAATTCACATGAATACATATTAGTTATACAATTGTTTGACAAAATTTAAATGTTCCTTTAGTGATAAAACATAAAATTTGATTTTGATTTTTTAATTTCTATATTTTTTTTTATTTCTGTTTCATATTGTTGATGGTATATAATGGATTTGATTTTTTTTTATAATCATATTGAAATTTCTAGACCATCACTTTTAAACTCTGTCTTAACCACTCGGACGTGGATGATGAGACATTTCACACATTACAACGTCACAAATGATGAAAATCTCCTAAAACAGCTTTTGTTGAGCAGTTGGTCTGAGACGTTACTAATGTACCCCATAACATCCTTATGATTTGCATACAAGCCTAAAAGTGTTGGTGGATTTTAGAGACAGAGTTGTCTCCCTTTCCATCATGGCGTCCAGTAGCAAACACAAATTCAATTTGGATTGACACAGAATTGTCGTCAAAGGAAGAATGTGACTAAAGTGAAGACAGGTATGATGCATCTGATCAGAGTCATCAAGAATTTGAAGCAAATTTCGAGTTGATAGGGTGAATTCCTTAGTTGTTGACAGCTCGAATGAGGAAGTTGCAAGTAGGCCTAATAATTCATGTTTTTGAGCAAAATTTGATATTGTAATCTTACTCCCAAGTGGTTAAATAGTATCTTACTTTTATCATGTATAGGTTGAGAAACAACTGGCTGCAAAACTTTGGTTATTTTGCCACTTCCATCTGGTAAAAATACTTGAAAACATAATCTTACAACACTCATTTCAGCAGAGCTGTTTACAAACTCAAATCCAGCTGAAAATACAACAAATTGCAGTATATATTTGCATCATCTCCATATATTAAAAATATATTTTGTCCTTATGAAAGTATGTCTACAAAGCAATAATCTTTTGAAAAAAAATATAAACTTACAATTTAAAGTTTAATAACAGCAAAATTGTGGCTTCCATTTAGCCAAGCAAAAAGCAATTTCTCAATTTCATAGAATGGCCGGAAAATTGATTGTTGAAGCTGTTATAACCCATATCTATGCTGATAATGACTCTGAGGGCGAATTTTTGCCATCTGAAGACGATTGGCCATTGGATTAGGAATGTATAGATATTGACCGTGATAATATAAATTGTGATGAAAGTCGAATTCCTGAAGTTGCGGACTTTTTTGTTGATAATAAAATGTTTTATCCCTCCATTATCTTCTTTATTGAACAAAATAGTCAAATTGTTGATGTAATATGATCTCATGTTTTTTTAGAAATAAACAGTGCCATGGTAATATACAAACATTCATAAACTTGTAACATGATGAAAATTGTTATTTTGACAAAAATCTACTAATTTTAGGTTTTGAACCTATTGTTGCCAAGGTGACGTCACAACAAAGTCACAAGATGATGACATCACAAAAATGAATATTTCCATGGTAACATACAAATATCACTGAACATTTTATCTATTGACACTTGGTGCCTACATCCCACAGTTTTGGAGCCACATGCTTTTGAAAAAAGGTACCACAAAATGTTAATTTTCAAAACAAAATATTCGGCAGTTAAAGGGTTAAGCTGCATCAAGGGAAGCAACTTCTGATAACTTGCCAAGCAAGGTAGCTTATGGACTCACTCCACTAAAACATTTTATGCAAATGATTAGTCCAGGCTATTTTTAGAAATCTTCTTTCTCTCTCCCTTTTGGGGTTTTTGCATGCCTATTTTTGGGTAAAATTTGGTCTAGATTTGGAATTTGATGTCTGAAATTGCATTATCTTTCAGATTTGGTGAGATGATGACAGACCTAAATGCGCAAGGCTAATTCTAAAAATAGTCGTTTTGTGAAGTGCCAAACTCTAGCGGATGAGTATAACCGGTAGTAGTCTACTTTCAATTTTAGTAGCTCAAAATTTTCATGGTCATCATATAATGAATTTTTTTTAGGAGACATTGAGAATTGGTCAGGCTTTCATTCGACATATTGAAAAGCTTTCAACGAGATTTCGGGAAAAAGTTATAGAAGGTTGAATTTCGTGTTTTAACATGGGAAGAGATGGCAAATGAATTAGTGGAGTGAGTCCTGTCTGTGTACTAGCAATGATAACAGTGTTTTTTGTAAACAAATTTTGTAGTTATGTTTAAAATCTTTCAATGTATTAAAATTTCATAATTTTTCACAAAATCTTTATAAATGAAGGAAATGAACTAAATACATCAAATCATCAAAATCATACTGCCCTGAAGTCTCATAGCTGTAATACGGTCATCAAATTTAATCCAAAACTATTCATCTTAAAATCATCACAACTTGACAACGACATCATCAATTTGCCTATTCAAACCAACTTTCATCAAAATCAGATGATTGACCAAATTTGACTTTTTGAACTTAATTAAAACTGGATCATGTTCTCATCAATATATATATATACATGTACATCCATTAAAATTACATAAGATCAGATAAAAACTGCAGCATCTAAAGTTGACAGATGAATTGACATAAACATAATAAAAGATAGCTTGCCAGGCAAGGTAACATACGCCCACTACCAGCTGTCAGAAATGATAAAGCAACAAAGTCTGTAGTTTATCATGCATACGAGCCAAATTTAAAGCGTTTTAACTAAGTCAAGGGCAATAACTCTAAAACTGTTCATCAGATTTTTACCAATTTCGAACTTGACTGAGATCTCATCAATATATACATGCATACTAAGTTTCATCAAGATCAGAAAAAATTGTACAGCCTTTTTCGTGCATACAAGCCAAATTTAAGGCGTTCTTACTAAGTCAAGGGCAATAATTCTAAAATTGTTCATCCGATTATTACCAATTTCGAACTTGACCGAGATCTTATCAATATATACATGCAAACCAAGTTTTATCAAGATCAGATAAAAACTGTAGCCTCTATCGTGCATACAACAAATGTGGACGGACGGACCGACCGATGAAAGGACAGGGGTGACGGCAATATACGTCCACATTTCCATGATGTGGGCGTATAAAAAAGTGACACTTAAGCTAAAACTATCAACCTACTTTGAAATGGATCCACATTTACACTTTTACGTAAATCTAAGGATTCTTGAATACCTTTCTTCTTGGCACATTGAATACCCAAATGAGGGAAGCTGTAAGATTAGGAGAATATTTCAGTAATCTTATTTCATAAAAACTTAAAAGATTTTGTTATCAAGTTCCTTGGCTTCTATTTTTAAAGCTTACAGCTCAAAACCATTGTTCAAGGGAAAGACAATTTCTTTTATAAAATAACAAGAAAATATCAGTGTGTTCATTCGTTTAGTGTGTATATATAGCTTTCCTTGAGGGAGAGATTTTGATTTTGAATTTCAGAATTTAATTTCACTTTGACATAGGTTAATCAACCTCAAAGATGCAATATTCACCTTCTAACATTAACTTCTACAACAGATAAGGTAAGTATATTGTATTTCAAATACACCTATTAAAGGCGTCATATAACAAAAGGTGTATTTGAGTTGAGAGAAATTACAAAATAAAAGTGAAAGGTAATAGTCATGAGTTGTATAATATATATATATTGGAATTCCCCATATATAATATGCTCAAGTTGTTCAATACAAATAACTATAAAGCAGTATATTTGTGGCTTAATTCAGCTAAACAATAAAGAGTTATACAAACCTAATAACACTGGTATCTTTAACTTTGACAGTACAGACACCTTTCTTACAATCTTTACCAACTAGAGCATGCGGATGAGGTTTATGTGGTGAATCTTTAGTAACACAGGAAACAACCACAATGGCAGGCCCTCGGTGATTCTGGATCTGTAAGAGAAATTATTATTATTACAATCAGATGTGAGATATCTTAAATGACCGGTTGCCCATATACTGCATAACCCACATATAGCAAAAATTTCATAAAAACTTCAATCTTTTGAAATCAACCCTAAAGGATATATAAAAGCAATTTCATGGCACCTTCAACAAAGATAGCTTACCAGGCAAGGTAATATACGCCCACTGGCAGCTTTGATTTTGAATAAAAATATTTGGCAGTGCAGTAACAATTACCAGTATGAAATATTGAACCTTCAGACATACACTTCTTTTGAACTTTTTGAGGTGATACTGAATAATATTACAAAGTTTCATCAAAATCTGTCAGGAATTGGGTATTCTTGAATGTTTACAGGCTAAAACTTGGCACGCATTTTTAAGAATAGGGGCAATAATATTTTTCGATTTTCGTTAGGGTTCATCTTTGGGTAATCACATACACTCACACCAAGTTTTGTCAAAATCCATCAATTGTGCCTTCTAAAGTGTTTACATGCTCCAAATTGAAAGCATTTTCAAGAACAACGGCAATAACTCATACCAATGATTTATCGATTTTTCTGATCTTCAATAGGGTTCATCCTTTGGTGACAACAAACACTCACACCAATTTTCGTCAATATCTGTCAATAATTGAACCTTCTAGAGCATTTACGGGCTAAAAATTGAACGCGTTTTCAAGAACAAGGCAATACCTCATATTGATTATTTTCGATTATTCTGATTTTCAATAGGGTTCATCCTTGGGTGATTACTAACAATCATACTAAGTTTCATCTAAATCCGTCAAGATTTGTGCCTTCTGGAGTGTTTACAAACTAAAAATTTAACGCGTTTTCAAGAACAAGGGCAATACTAATTATTTTTTTATCTTTTTGATTTAAATAGGGTTCAGACCAACGGACAGGGTGACGATAATATACGCCCCCCATTTCATGTGGGCGTATAACAAAATTGTAGTCTTTTACATAATCTAAACTTTTTTGGCTGAATACATGTCTGGGTAAAGGCTATCAGTAAATGAAACATTCCGAGAGTAACATTTTCATACTATAAGAGCTTTATTCACTGCCCTTTTCTTTACGCTGATATACTCAAACAAGGCAAATACATAAAGAGCTCATCACAATATGAATGTAGGCCTACATTTTCAGCATTGGTCAACAAAATAAGTTTAATGTGAAAAAAAAAAGCAAAAATTTAAGGTAGGAAGGAAGGCTATAGCAAAATCACATAGATGTATCATAGAAATAAGAAGGATCAATTCCAATCAATTCAGGTAGGATCCAAAAAGATTATCATACAAAAGACTGTCCGACCTCAAGATGAGGCACAGAAGATAATTCCTCAAAATGAAACTGTCCAGGAACCATTATTGGGATATACAAGAAATCAACCGCTTATTATGTGTACCATTTTGACTGTCAAATAAAGTACCATATTGAATACATACCTTAATTGTGGGATAAGTTTTCTTTTCTGCACTGCTACTTTGACCAGGAATACTACCAGCAGACCGTCCTTCACACTGATATCTGAATCTCAGCCCCCGTTGTCTAGGTTCCTCAATTATAACTACTTTTGGTTCAATAAACTCTGTCATTTGTTGTTTCATTTCTAAGAATTTTCTCATGGAGTTATCTTGCGCTATCTGCATTGGTTGATGCAGAAAACTGGAAGAAGCACTAGCCAACATTGGTGATGTATCAGGTTCTTCTGTTAACCTTTGATTTGAGTCTGAAAATAGTTCAATTCTAAATAAAATTTGGGTACTTATTTCAATTTTGGGACAGATAGAATTACTGTTCATTTAGCCAAAAAGTTCACAAAAACAAATAGTCCAATATTCATGAATTTTTCTTTCCATTGCAATGTATTGGGCTTGCTTGCATCAAATGAAAGGCCTTATTTTACTGCTGGTTCCATTTGTTTATATATGACACATTGTGTCCAAACCACACCCCCATTCATCATACTCGTGACTTTGGTAACACAAGTGAGAAAAATTATAGCTAAAAATGTCCAATCAGAATTGGCCTTACAGTAATGGTAGCAAATATCAGCCAATCAAAGCAAATCATTTGTTATGATACTATGTTTGCGAACCTAAACAAAGCGAAAGCAGCACGCCATTACATATTTTGATGAATGTGTAGTATACGATACAGAATTTAATAAGATTTTCGTTAAAGAATTAAAGCCGAGAGAAAATTATTTACTTGGAAATAATGTGTTATCTCTTCAAACGGACCGCGACAAAGTGGTGTTATGTTTTGTTTACATGACCTCATTTCTGTTCTACTGATCTGATTGATCAGATTAAAATGCTACCAATCTCATTTCCACGCCTCCATAACGAAGTGTGTTCGGCTTAGTTTAATAATGGTTAACAAGACCCTGTCAAAACCTGTATTCGTGATACGATGATAATGTGAGTGTAATGTTTTAAGTAGTATGTAAATTGAACAAGAACTTCTTTACTAATATTTTAAAATATTGGTGATACTTACTATCTGATACCATTTCTTCATTACCAACTGGTGGTAGTAATAGACCCATGTCACCTTGTTGTTCCATTTGAGTTATTGCAGCAGCCAAATCAGCACTTGGCAAATTTAGTAGGCCAATACTATCAATGCCTGTAGACAACATATCTAAAAAAAGACAACTGAATGATACAAATTACACAAGTATATCAACAAGCTTTTTTATGAGTTGCATAAAACTTTAACCAGTGATTGTTGTTCCATAAAGCTGTGTCTATATATCATACTCACAATTGTTAAATGCCATTCAATTGACTTTATCAATTAGTACTTTCAGTTTTTAATTAACACTTTTAAAACAAATTCAGTTTGATCAAGAAGATTCATAGATAATAAATAGCATATTTTATAAAATTTTCAGGTGTAATTGACAACAATGAGATTTTTTTTACAAAAAAAAGTGGAATCCCCCTTTAAGCCTATGGCATGTGTATGGGATACAGTGGCCAAAATGTTTGCTTCACCTGCTGATAGCCATAATAGCAGTTTCCACACCAGTAATTAAAATCCATTGTCCGGTTCCACTTAAACTCAACAATGTTCCATGATTAGTTAGACTGCCATCACCTCTAGGGCAGTATCAATCCTCTCACACATGTGCAGTTATTACTGACATTTCATGACAGTCATTGGTGATAACTGCATGCAAGAACATTAACCTGACTTAATTGACAAATCACTTCTTGGTTGAATTCAAGAACCAAACATCAAATATTATTCTGAAAAGTGATATGGATACCTGAAACTTACTCAGTAAGAAAAGTGAAGTTATCCTTATTATATCATTCTAAACAAAGTCTTCCTGATTGATGTTATGACATACTGATACACGGAATCGGGATAAGTAAGTGAGTAGAGTGATAAATCTAGATTTTCTACAAGGTTAAACTCTTGTAAAATACATCCTAAAAAAGAAAAATACTCACTTCCATTAAAAGAACTTGTCATTGTGGTAAATGATAGTGGATACGCCGATTAAGGTTTACTTTATTTTGAATATTTCAATCCAGAAATCCAACTTTTCTGAAAATAGCTAAGTGTTTTTCCCGGAAACGTAATGTTCTATATTTAGAATACGGAGAAACCGTCTTTTTACAACCGAATATCGCTGAAGAACAACGAAGAATTTAACACATTTATTACATAGTTAATAAATCAATTATAAACTATTTTCAAATGTTAACGATGTATATCTTTGGTATTTATTAGCTCCCTACCACTGAATTGTAACTCAGTGCTGTTTTCATGATAAAAATTGGTCTACCCACAATGCAGTGGTTATGAGTCATTTCGGTACCGAATAAGGATAACTCGGACCATCTTTCAAGACAACTCGGACCACATTTAATAAAAACTCAACCAATATAAACAATATGATAACTCTGTGAGTTCTGCACTATGGAATTTGGATAACCTGAATCAATTATCGAAGTATATAAGGAATAAGTAAGATGAAGGTTTGGCTTTACTTTATTGAAAAGGTAAAAGAAACATGAAAAAAACAAATAAATCAGGAAGGTACGTAAACAATAATACATCTAACTAAATTATATAGGAAGATAGCGTTAGGTACTTTTTGGGTTGATAATGAATAATATTACCAAGTCAAAATCTGGCAAGAATCATGCCTTTAGTGTTTACGATCTAAAAATTGAAAGCGTTTTCAAGAACAAGGTCAGTAACTCCCATAAAACATTTTTCGATTTTCAATAGAACTCATCCATGGGTGATACAAAACTTAACGACTAGATTCGCCAAAATCCTTCAATAATTGTGCCGACTAGAGTGTCTACAAGCTAAAAATTGAACGCGTTTTTAAACACAATAAATAACTAATATACTATATTATTTTTTGATTCTTCAAATTTTCAACAGTGTAAATTGAACGGTTTTCAAGAACAAGGGCAATAATTCAAACTAAATATATTTTGATTGTTCTGATTTCTAATAGGGTTCATCCTATTCGGTGATAACAAACACTCACACCAAGTTACAACAAAATCTGTCAAGAATTATGCCTTCTAGAGTGTTTACGAGCTAAAAATTGAACGCGTTTTCAAGAACAAGGGCAATAACTCATACTTAATATATTTTGATTTTTCTGATTTTCGATAGGGTTTATCCTTGGTAATAATTGTGCGAATATAAACCATGAAATTAACGAAAATGGGACACACAGTTATAATCACTATTGAGGATTTTTCTGACAGAGTCAAAATGATCGATGAATTTTTGTTCTTTGGCTGGCCTATTAACCTTGGAAAGTTTGCCATCACCTGACACCTTGCATAGAATGACCTGCCGAGTTGAAATGAACTGACACTGGTGTAAGACGATTGTTCTGAATACTACTTCGATGGCCGTTCATTTGGCCTCAGTGAGTTTGTTGAGTTTCACCAACATCAATTTGATCTGGCCATCGTATACAAAATATATACCATTATGATGTTTGAACCATGTGCACCTATTAGATTTCGAGGAAGGGAGGGTTTCATTCTCCCAAATGTACAGGCCTAGGGTGGAGCAGACACTTTATTTAGAAATTAGGATTAAGGGTCTTGATATTGGGTTTTCTTCTGTTCTTCTTCTGATCTGAAATTAGAAAAAAAAAACTCGCCCGATGGGCGAGAAGTATAGTATCTGTTATGTACTGATTGTTTTTAGTTTACTATGAACAATATTATCATTTAAGTTCTTATTTTTTGAATATGCAACTATCATTTTCTGCTTATAGACATGGGGGAATTTCTCTTGAAGGCTCTTATAGTGGGCATGAACTATCTTGCTTGCTCGATTGCTGGTTGTATTAAACAGGACAACAAAGGGTGCTATGCCTACATTATGATGAATATTTAGTCCTATAGGTCTTGCTGTATTCAATGTCTCAATCCAATGGGCCTCCCTAGATTGACGGAAGTTGGTAGTTTCATCTTCGGGCAAGTCAATTTCTATACGCTCAATTGGGATTAGGGTGAGATCGTCTATTGAATGGTCGTCGAGGTTGAAATGATTAGAAACAGGCTTGTCTTTCTTTAATTTGATGTCTGACCTATGAGCATTAAAGCGAGTTCGTAAATTATTCTTAGTTTCTCCTACATATTGTTTGGGACATTTCTTGCATGAAATTAAATATATTACATTCGAATGTTCACATGTTAGATGTTCCTGGATCGGGTACCTTTTATTCGTAGAGTTGCTTACAAAATAATGAGTTTCTGATATAA